GCATTTTTTGTGAAAATATAATGCTTGATTATGCATTGATGGAAGGTTGAATACTTGGGTCTAAACTGATTTGTTCCATAGATAGAATCTATTTTTAGATTACTCAGTCAAGAAACTTGATAAATAAGTTGTTGTTGTTGTTTAGTCGTTAAGTCGTGTCCGACTCTTCGTGACCCCATGAACCATATTGCGCCTGATAAATAAGTACTAGTATATAATTGCCTATTTATACTTTAGGCTTATTTTGATGTAATTAGATAGGTTGGATGTTACCTTTTTAAAAAATGGGGATTGCTATGGAGCAACCCATCATCCAGCAGGTATTAAGTTATCCCCAGATGTTAAGGAACATAAAACATTTTTCAGAGGTTAAAACAGCACCGTGGCTACCAATGTGCTATTTCTTTATCTTCTAGCCTAAATGTATCTGACCTGAAAAATATGAATATTAATTGTTTGCATTTGACAGACCCTTTTTGTAGCTTTGCTAGCTGCTTTAAGAGTTTACTTATCTACAGTGTTCCACCCCACAAACATACATTTGCATTTGGATCTAGTTAGAGGACCTTGAGGTTCTAGCAAAGGATTCAATTCCCCGAGCACAAAATCTATAACAGTAAATTTATTTTAAGGTCATTATAGTGTTGTATATAATGCAATGATGGAACAGGAAACAATTATGAAGTTGATATTCCCTTCTAATAAATCATGCCAACTTTGGCTTATGAAATTGCTAGTTATTGTGCCCTTTTTCAGTATCACAAGAAAGTACAATAGTGAGTTTTAGTTTTATTTAAATCTAAATGCTTAAAACAGTTTAATTTCTTCAGTTACTTGATCTTCAGATACTGTATCATGGAAGTTGTCTGACATTGTATCTTTATAGCACCTGAATAAAAATGATTTGAACTTAGGAAATACTTTCCTCTTGCTACATCTTTCTCCCAACATGTCATTAATTATAAGTCATCATTCTCTCTGGACTAGACACCTGATGAGTTTTCATGAGTAATTTCTGTTTTAAAAGTTAACTTGGCAAACTCCTCTTTTTTACAGAAATTTATCTGAGTTGACTTTATGTTTATATAGCAATTGTTTAATATAATTGGAATGGAAATCCCTGAGAATGGCAATTTTATGATACAGTATTTTCCTTTCCAGGTTTTCAAACTGGAACAGAAAAAGATGGATACATCTGATGGAGGTACAGCTGAAACATCTTCACGTTACAGTGGAGCCCAAGACAGTGGCATTGGCAGTGACAGTGTTAAAATCAGAATAGTCCAAATAGAACAACATAGTGGCACCAGCCAACATCGCATTGCCCAACCTTCCCGACAATCTTCTATAGTGAAGAATCTGAACTTTATTCCATTTGACATTTTTATTACTGCAAGCCGATTCTCCTTCATGACTTATTCATGTACTACTTTACTTAAATCAAAATTACAGGAAGATCAAAAAGATGGTGAAAAAACAATCAAAAGTTCATTAAACCTTCCAGAAACAGTTGATGATTGCAAGAAATCTGTCAAAACAGGTTTTTCATCAGTAACAGCAGATGATCTCCTAAACTCTAACAGTTCATTGCCCTCTGGGAAAAAGTCAGGTCTTATATCTCTGGAAAGTCTTCATGCATCCACAAGATCATCTGCTAGACAAGCCTTGGGTATAACTATTGTCCGACAGCCTGGTCGCAGAGGAACTGGAGACTTGCAGTTAGAGCCATTTTTGCACCTGGTTGTATCTCAACCGTCTTTCATCTTAAGCTGTCATCATAGAAAGCAAAGAGTGGAAATATCTGTGTTTGATGCTGTCCTTAAAGGTGTTGCATCAGATTACAAGTGTACAGGTAAGACCATTTACTATCCTTAAAATCATAGATTCACTGCCTAATTCTTTTGTTCAGGGGTGAACAAAAAGAAAAATGTTTATTTATTCTAGTTAAACATGAGGTTATGTATTCAGTAGTTTGAGCTGATTTTATTGGTCTCATAATTTGGTTCACTAAAATTTTAAAAACACGGAGAAAGCAATAGAATATGGTGGTTCTACTATTTTAAAATTTTCTTATACAGTATTGTCATTTTGCTTTCCAGTCCCCTCCCCTAATCTCTCTCTCTCTCTCACACACACACACACTCACACACACAAACACACACAAGAACACACAAGCTCATGCATAGTAGGAGATACTTACCTTTTAACCATCTTAACTACTCCACTGTTTGTGGCAGTGTACTACTGAAATTTCTATTTGTTATAAGGAAGTAGACAGTTTCAGATGCTCTTAAGCAGAAGAAGAACCTTTCGGGTAGTATGTTCAACTCAAAATATTCAAAGAAAGATAAATCTTGTATTTTTTCTCTTGTTGCCCTACTTGAGTGGCTGGAGCTGGTCAAGTTCTTGGAAAAGCTATGCTGCATATTGCACACACTCTTGTAATTCAGAGCTCTGTCTGGGGTTGTGTATATGCATTGCTTTGTTCTGTGTGGTCATTGCCTCCTTTTACATCTTCTTCCCTTTTTGTACTCTTCTACAATGCTCTTGCTTTCTCAGTAAATTCTTCTTGCTCTCTGCCTTTCTACATTTCCTCTTTAGCTTTAATTTCAGATTTATTCTTTCAGCTACAGGGTGCTCGATAGTGTGGACTGTTGGCTTTTTTTTTTTTTTTTGCCTTCAAGTCAATCTTGACTCCTGGCACCTGCCTGGACAAGTCCATACAGTTTTCTTGATAAGATTTTGGCAGTGGTTTGCCATTGCCTGCTTCCTAGGGCTAAGAAAGAGTGACTGGCCCGAGGTCACCCAGCTGGCTTCATGTCTAAGGCAGGACTAGAACTCATGGTCTCCTGGTTTCTAGCCTGATGCCTTAATTACTACACCAAGCTGGCTCTGTTAGTAGGAACTAAATTGAAACATGTTATTGGCATAGTTGTCTTGGCTGCTGTGTCTCAACTTTAGCCTGTCTTGCTAAGTTTTCTCTGTAAGAGTTTGCTCCATATTTCTTTTTCTCAGTCATACGATTTGCTTCAGTGAATTATTCCTGTAACTCTGAAAGGTGTACTGTAATCTTATTTGTGAACCAGTCAGAATGTGACAGAATCCCAAAACAGGTTTTTTTGTAACATCACTTGCAATCTAAGACATAAATTCTTCACATTCATGGGGCAGTTTTACTTAGGCAGTGTTAATTTTCACTTCTACTTACATTTTCATATTAATTACTTATATGCATATAAGTACACAATATCAGGGCTTTTAAAAAAATAGCTATAAATGACTTAGCATACAAAAGTTCACAGGTTCTGTAACTGGTATATCCAAGTAGGAATGGAATTACTTCTCTTCTGAAATGCTGGAAAGCCACTACCCTTCTATATAGGTCTATCTACCCTAAGCTGATGCCCTCCAGATGTTTTGGACTATGTTTCCTACCATATAGTTCCCATGCTGGCTGGGAACTGTAGCCCAGAATGTCCGCAGGGGAACAAGTTGGGGAAAGCTGGCAGAAACTGTAAGGCTTCATGTAAGTACAGTGGAAAAGGCCACTGAACTGGTACCTATATGCATCATCTATGGAAAAGGCAGAAAATTAACTGCTGTTGGCTAAAATATATATCTGCGTGTAAAGATAGATACACACACACACATGTATGCGTGCTCGCATATGCACACACATACATGCATATACTGGAATCAACACTTAAAACAAATACTTGGAGATAATTTGTTAAAATCTCATTTTGCCTCCAAACTGGCATACATCAAAACTTTGATTATTATTTCACTACTGCTTTAAAAGTAATTTTGATATGATATTCCCAGTTGAAATTTGGTGAGAATTTGAGCATAAGAACAAAAAATTGCCCATAATGTGCATCACCAGTTGGCCCCAGGACCACAAGTTGGGAATTATTTGTCAATTTCTTTTTATTTGCAATTTCTTCAAGATATAATGATTTTGAGGACAGCAGCAAATTTTCAGTTTTACCAAATTGCAAATTCTCAATTTAATTTTGAAAATCAACTTTGGAATAGATTATTGTACTTGGATATAATGGATTAAACTGTCATTCTCCAAATTGCAGCCTGTATTATTTTAAGGAAAATGCAGAATAAAATAATATTGAAAACATAGCAGAATTAATGCCATATGTAGCACTGCTGCCTATAGAACAGGTTTCCACAACTTAACAATCATACCCCTTTGATAAACTCCCACAATCCCCAGCCAGCATGGTCATTGATATACTGGCAAGGATCCAAAAAGTTATTTTGGCATAGCATAGCTAGTGCAACTTTTCTTCCTATCAAGTCCCCCACTTTTTTGTATTTCTCAGATACTGAGTTATGAGCAGTGCCCTGTTGGTTTGTATTACTGTAATGTACTGTGCCAAATATTTTTATGTCATAAATAATTGGTGATGATGATAGGAACTATGTATTTTTCTCTCCCTATTTGCAAAGTGGCCTTTTAAGAGATATTACCACTGCAGTTGAAAGTATTAGTTTGCAATAATTGGACAGGCAATTTTCCTGGGCAATTCAGGGGTGTTGAATAAATCAAATATTTTAGCCATTCACCCTTGCATTTTGGTATATCCTGTAGCATTGGCAATTCCTTAGATCTGAATACAGATCTGAATAAAAGAACTGTTTCAAACATGATGACTTACCAAAGAATGTAGCTAACATGCTTTAGTGCCACCTATGCATATGATCAAAGGATGGTACTTGAGCACCTGAGTCAGGCTTTGGCTAATGTTTTGAACCTTCTAATTTCAGAAGCCAGGTAATTCAGGCTTTTCCCAAAAAGCAAACATTTCTTAGGCCATCCACCTGCTTATTGGTTTAATTTGCTACTTGCCTGCCTGATTAATGTCCTGTTTACAAGTTTGGTTGCTGGCCTAGATAGGACCTACAGTGGGGCAAAAAAGTATTTAGTCAGCCACCAATTGTGCAAGTTCTCCCACTTAAAAAGATGAGAGAGGCCTGTAATTT